ACAACAGACACCCTGTAAGGTAAAAGAAGAAGAGATTGCATTGATACCCCACCCTTCACGACCCGAAGGAGTCTCAGAGCGGCTTACAAACTCCTTTCCCTTCCCCTCCCCACAACAGACACCCTGTGAGGTAAAAGAAGAAGAAGAAGAGATTGGATTTATACCCCGCCCTTCACTACCCGAAGGAGTCTCAGAGCGGCTTGCAAACTCCTTTCCCTTCCCCTCCCCACAACAGACACCCTGTGAGGTAAAAAAAGAAGAGGAGGAGATTGGATTGATACCCCGCCCTTCACGACCCAAAGGAGTCTCAGAGCGGCTCACAAACTGCTTTCCCTTCCCCTCCCCACAACAGACACTCTGTGAGGTAAAAGAAGAAGAAGAGGAGATTGGATTTATACCCCGCCCTTCACTACCCAAAGCAGTCTCAGAGCAGCTTACAAACTCCTTTCCCTTCCCCTCCCCACAACAGACACCCTGTGAGGTAGGTGGAGGTGGGGCTGAGAGAGCTCTCTCAAGGACTGCCCTTGAGGGAACAGCTGAGAGATCTTGTGGCTGACCCAAGGTCACCCAGCTGGCTGCATGTGGCGGAGTGGGGAATCAAACCCGGTTCTCCCAGACGAGAGTCCTTACTCTTAACCACTACATCAAACTGGCTCTCAATCAGTTCCCCCAGAGAAAATGGCTGCTGCACAGGATGTATGCTGTGGAACTAAGGTCCCTCCCCTTCCCAAATTCCGCCCTCCCCAGGCTCCACCCCCAAATCTCCAGGATTTCCCAACACAGAGCTGACAACCCAAGATACAGTAATCTCCGTTAAGTGAAGTGGAAGAGGGAAAATGAGCCAGGCTTTGTTAGTCACATGAGTCACATGATAGAGGTGCTAGCGATTTATAAAATGATGCATGGGGTGGAGAGAGTGGACAAAGAGAACTTTTTCTCCCTCTCCCAAAAGACGAGAACTCAAGGGAATCCAGTTAAGCTGATGGGCAGTAGGTTTAGGAGGGACAAAAGGAAATACTACTTTACACAGAGAGTGATTAAAATGTGGAATTTGCTGCCAGAGGATGTTGTGATGGCCACAGGAATAAACAGCTTTTAAAGTGGATTAGATAGACTCATGGAGGATAAGTCTATCATTGGCTACTAGCCATGGTGGCTGAGGGGAACCTCCATGTTCAGAAGCAGTCAACCTCTGAATCCCAACGACAACATCAGGAGAAGGCCTCGGACTCCATGCCCTTCTGTTGGCCCTCCAGAGGAACTGGTTGGCCCCTGTGTGAGATGGGATTCTAGACGAGATGGACCCTCACTAGTCTGATCCAATAGGGCCTTCTTAGGTTCTTATCAGGGTAAGGCCTCAGCCTCTCTGCCCTGCTGTTGGCCCTCCAGAGGAACTGGTTGGCCCCTGTGTGAGATGGGATTCTAGACGAGATGGACCCTCACTAGTCTGATCCAATAGGGCCCTTCTTAGGTTCTTATCAGGGTAAGGCCTCAGCCTCTCTGCCCTGCTGTTGGCCCTCCAGAGGAACCGACTGGCCACTGTGTGAGACAGGACACTGGACGAGATGTACTAATGGTCTGATCCATCAGGGCTCTTTCTTATGTTCTTATTACTCTGTTTATTTACAAAGCACTCTGTCAGTCATAATCCCCAGAGATCTCCAGGCCCACCGGGAGTTTGGCAACTCTGCTCTGCAACAGCCCTGTATGGTAGGTCACGACACCCCTGTGGGCCTACATGTGAGGCATCGCCACTGCTTCCTTATTTCTGGCATCTCTCCCACATCGCCGGTCCCCAGAGGCGTTCCCAGAACACTGTGTGACTTTACAGACAAGACAAACCGCATTTTGTTTACATAAAAGAAGATAAAGAGGCTTTTAAAAAAATTATGATTTCTATTTTACGTCTCGATCCCTCAACCAATCACCCGCCCATGTTTTATCCTCACAACAACCCTTTGGGTTAGGCTGAAAGAGAGCGGCTGGCCCGGGGTCACCCAGCGAGTTTCCATGGTGGAGTCAGGGCCTGCTCAGGGTGTTTTGTCTTCCTCTTCCTGCACTGCTGCTGGCTGGGTTGGTCCTGGAAGTGCTGCCCATGGGCTCCTGATGGTACAAGCCGAGTTTGTGTTTACCTCAAAGCTGTTACCTCAGGTGGTTTGGATGGAGGCAATTTGTGGGAGGGGGGAGCTCACCGGTCTCTTGCTACTTCCCTCATTTTGGGCGAGGCCCCGCTAAGCCAGGGCGAGTGAGGCCTGTGGAGCCCCAGACTTTCACACTAAAGTCCATCTATGATGGTGCCACCGCTCCGGCAGGCCCCAGGGCTTGCCCTTCAACAACCAAGGAACCTTCAAAGGAGGGCCTTGAGGCTTTTTCACGCATCCACCAAAGTCTTCCACGTGCGGACAGCCCACCGTAGATCTGCCGCCAAAGACCTAAGTTCCACATCCCTTCAAACACAAACGGGAGTCAGCGTGTCCGTTCAGTTGTTTGTCAGCACCCTGGTAAAGGCAGTGGTGACCCCACCCGTAGTCTCGGCCTTCAACTGGCGCCCAGCCCAACAGTCTAGACCTTAAACTGCCTGCCGAATCTGGATCTGCGATAGCAACAGAAGAGGCCCACCCCGATGACGATCAGTGAGAGGGCCAGCACCGCCACGAGCAAAATCAGCATGCTCATTTTCTTCAGGTCCTCTTTCTCGCAGTCCTCGGCCCTTATGTTCCTCATTGCCATTTCTCCGTCGTACCCAAAGCTCTTGGCGTACTGGCATTTGACGAGGTCAACGTTGGGGATCTCCACGGTCGCTCTGTGGATCATGTGAGAGAGCCAGATGTTTCCACAGCAACTGAGAGGATTCCCCGCCAGGTACAAATTCCGGAGGGTTTTCTCTAAGGCTGGGATCTCGCTGCTTTTTAGACTGCCGAAGCTGTTATTCTGCAGGTCCAGAATTTCCAAGACACAACAGTCTTCTGACCAAGTGGGCAGCCAACTGAGCTGATTGTCTGACAAATTTAGATACCTGAGATGGGTAAAACGAGGCAGATTGATATTTAAAGTCGTCATGCCATTACTGTGTAAATCCAAATGTTCGAGAGAGATTTCCAACCCTGACAAAGATTTGGCCTCGATCCGAAGCCCCCTATTGGTAGAGAGATCCAACCATGTGAGTGGGGTCTGTTGGAAAACGTACAGCGGGAGGCTCTGCAAATGATTGTCCGCTAGAATCAAATACCGAAGTTCGGGGAGGTTGACAAACGAGATGCAGCCGTCTTCCTCGCCGGCAAGCCTTCGCCTGGCTAACCCAGAATACAAACTGCAGAGCCTGAGGTGGTTTCTTCGGAGGTTGAGCAAAGTGATTTCCGGAAGGCTTGCAAATAAGTCCGATCGTAGCCCTCGGAGATTGTTCTCCTGAAGATAGAGCTCTTGCAAATTACTCAGCGCGTTGCCATCCAGTTCCAGGTTCTGCAAAGAGTTAGAACTAAGGTCGAGAATGACCAGCGAGATTAGCTCGGAACTCGCCGTGAATGTCTGGAGGCAGTTTTTGCTCAGGTTCAGAAACTGCAAAGCAGACATGGATGCAAAGAAGTCAGGTGGCAGGGATTTGATCTCGTTGAAACTCAAGTCCAAATACAACAGCCGAGACAAGGAGGGAGAGCTCTCGTTGTTCTTTGGACTCAGAGCCTGAAGATCAAAAGGTATATCCAACCAGTCATAGTCTAAATCATCACTAGGAGAGTCCACCATAAACTGCATGATATTCTTTGATAAATTCAGGTAGGCAAGCTTATTCTCTTGTGGGAGAACCGGGAACCGGAGTAGCTTGTTCTCGCTCAGGTCTAGCCAAACCAGGTTGAATTCCTCTTTCGATTCGGTAGAATGGAAGGACTCAATACTGTTCTGGCTGAGATCCAGGACTTGCAGCTGTTTCAGGCTGAAGCCAGCAATACAGGTGAGTGAGTTCATGGAGAGGTTGAGTGTGGAGAGATGGGACAACATCTCAAAGGCACCTTCTTCTATCTCCATGATCATATTGCTATGAAGGTCCACCTCAATGAGTCTTGGAGACCCTTGAAATGTGCTCCAGGATATTTCTGTGATGCTGTTCTCTGCCAATGAAAGATACTCAAGCGATGGCGCTTGGTGGAGGAACCGTTGAGCCATCCCGTTGTACAGGCTGTTGTGAGACAAGTCTAGTATTCTGACCTGGGGTAGTAATCCGACCCAAAGGTTGTGCTGAGCCAACTGATAGAGCTGGTTGTTGGCTAAATTGATCTCCATCAAACTCATCATATCTGAGAAGATTCCTGGTTCTATGTAGCTGATACGATTGGAACTTAAGTCGAGATAGCGGAGGGAGGTGTAAAAGGTCAAAGGCATCTTGGTGATGTTTTGAAGTTTGTTTTCAGAGAGGTTGAGTTTATGGATGTTTGGGTAAAGTTCTGAAGGGATCTGGCGAAAACCTTTCCTCTGACAAAATGCCACCATGTTTTTCTATGGGAACAAGAGGGGGAAAAACATGTCAAGGAATGTTAAGGCATACAATAAACAAAGACTGGCTCAACAGGCCATATCTCATCTCTTACAATTTTTGAAAATGTTTTTAAGAATGTAATTATCATAAAGTGTGTGCCGAAAAAAAATCATTATGGTTTTGGACCCAGGTATCGGAATGTCAACCTCCTGGTGGGACCTGAGCATCCCCCAGAATTATAGCTCATCTCCAGGCAACAGAGATCAGTTTCCCTGGAGAAAATGGATGCTTTGGAAGGTGGAGTCTATGGCATTGGACCCCACTGAAGTCCCTGTCTTTGCCAGGTTCCATTCCCAAATATCCAGGACCATCCCAATGTGGAGCCGGCAACCTTACCCCCTACCCTCCAGCCACTGGCCAGGGGGGACCAGGCACCCCTGTTCAGGTGCCCCCAAATCTCAACCACATGCAGCTTTGCAGCTTCATTTTGCTGCTCCCTCAAGTAGCTAATTTCTGTTCATGTGCACTGCAACTGGAAATCAGTAAGCACCACAACTACCTTAAAAATTCCCTGTCTACTGTTTTACAGAAAAGGTGATTGTCTGGAAGCACTCTTTGAGCTTTACACCAGTTTGGTGTAGTGGTTAAGTGCGTGGACTCTGATCTGGGAGAACCGGGTTTCATTCCCCACTCCTCCACTTGCAGCTGCTGGATGACCTTGAGCAAGCCAAAGTTCTGTCAGAGCTATTCTTGAAACAGCAGTTTCTGTCAGAGCTCTCTCAGCCCCACCTCCCTCACAGGGTGTCTGTTGTGGGGAGGCGAAGGGAAACGAGTTTGTAAGCCTCCTCCTCCTCCTCCTTCTTTCCTTTCCAGGATCCAATGGGAAGGATGCCATTTCCCAGGGAAACAAGTAGAATCAAAGAACAACACAGCAAACACGAGCAACTGAACCCAAAAATAAATGGATTTGGGGGGATAATTTTGTTTCGAGAAGAGGAGGAGGAGATTGGATTTATACCCTGCTCTTTTTAAAAATGTTTTTGTTGAAAAACTATATTACTCACAACCAACAAAAAGGTATATAAATTGTATATATATTGGATTTATACCCTGCCTTTCACTACCCAAAGGAGAGCAGCTTACAATCCCTTCCCCTCCCCACAGCAGACACCCTGTGAGGTAGGTGGGGCTGAGAGAGCTCTCTCGAGAACTGCCCTTGAGAGAACAGCTCTGAAAGAACTTATAACTGACCCAAGGTCACACCAGCAGCTGCATGTGGGAGAGTGGGGAATCAAACCCAGTTCTCTCAGATAAGAGTCCGCGCTCTTGACCACTACACCAAACTGGCTCTCGAGTTCACAGATCGAGTTTCACTCAGAGTCTTGGAGCGGTTTACAATCACCTTCCCTTCCTCTCCCCACGACAGACACTGTGTGAGGTCTGTGGGGCTGAGAGAGCTCTTGAGAGAACTGCTCTTGAGAGAACTGCTCTGAGAGAACTGTGACTGACATTAGGTCACCCAGCTGGCTGCAGGTAGAGGAGTGGGGAATCAAACCCAGTTCTCCAGATTAGAGTCCACCACTCTGAACCACTACACCAAACTGGCTTCTCAAATTATGTATGTTCCCTGTGGGTACACTCTGCAGTAGGGATCAAAGACCTTAGCCAGAATCTTTTCCAAACCGTGTGCCCAAAAGGCTTTCAAGTTGAAAACAGCCCGTTACACATTCAGGCTGATCCTTTTCCATGTCCCCATTTCCAACGGCAAAAAAATTTGATCCAGAGGAGAAACCACTGGCCGTTCCTCAGAACTGATGAATCAGAAATATCTCCCAAAAGGCATATCGAAATCTGGAGAGCAGGAGAGAAGTGTCTGCTTAACCAGAACTGGAATCATACCAGTGGATGATTAGTAGGAAACATGGGAAGAAAGACTGAGGGCGAAAGTCACTGCCAACAACCCAAGGTGTGGGTAGAACACGAAGGCATGAAGCTACAGTGAATCAGAATACTGGTTCATCAGTGTCAGGACTGTCTACTCAGACGGACAATGGCTCTCCGGGGTTTAAGGCTGAGGTATTTCAGATCGCCTACTGACTGGTCCTTTCGAACTGGAGATACCAGGATCCAGGCGTCATTTCCTGCGGGAGCGCACAGGAGCGGAGCTCCGGCAGTAAGGAGCCCAGGGGGCGGGCACATGCAACAAGCCCCGCCCCCTGCTCCCAGCAGCCCTCAGTTGGGCCACGAGGAGCAAGAAGCAGCCAGGTAAGTTGCAGAGCCTCCCGCCCCCGGCCCGCCTTCAGGTACAAGCTCTCCCTCCTCTGTGACGGTGGATCTGCACGTTCTCCACCCCCCCCAATAGCTAGCAATCCAAAAGAGTCCAATGGAGCCTGAGCGGTGGGTGTTGACTTCTGACACACTTACGGTGAAGCCAGGGGGTGTGGCACATGCAAATAGGTTATGGTAATGAGTTTTACTAATGAGCTCCGGCACCTCTTTTTCTACGAAATGACTCCTGGGCATACCTAGATGGGAGCACATCTGGCCTGTGCTGAAAGCACTGCACTGGCTGCCAATAGCATACCGAATCCGCTTCAAGGTGCTGGTACTTACCTTTAAAGCCCTGTATGGCCAGGGTCTGGCATACCTGAGGGACCACCATTCCCCATATGTTCCCCCAAGGACACTACAGTCGGGGACTGAACATCGACTGGTAACCCAAGGTCCCAAAGATATTAAATTTGCTGTTACCTTTTTTTGGTGGTGGCTCCTACCTGGGGGGATGAGCTCCTGGAGGCGATCTGGGCCCTGCGGGACCTGGTGCAGTTCCGCAGGGCCTGCAAGATGGAGCTCTTCCACCATCACTATACCATCACCGTACCACCACCACTAAATGGAGTGGGTGTCATCGGGGAACGAGACGGCCCTGGGAGGAAGGACGGATCGCTGTACCTCCTGGAGTCTACCATGTCGCTCTGGGACCACTTTGTCATGTGTGACCCCATCAGTTATTTGTGACATCTAGAGCACTTGTATTTTTTATATAAATGATTCTTTTATTGCTTGTTTTAGCCTGTTTTTTCCCTGTTTAATCTTGGCATATGTGCCTAATTTGTTAGTTGCCCTGAGCCCATTCGGGGGGAGGGTGGGGTATAAATTTAAAAATAAATTTTTTTAAAAATTATATTGTACATGATTCATAAAATTCTGGTGGTGGAAAGTGCCATCAAGTCACAGTTGACTTACGGTGACCCTGTAAGGGTTTTCAAGGCAAGAGAAGAACAGAGGTGGTTTGCCATTGCCTGCCTCTGCATCATGACCCCAGACATCCTTGGTGGTCTCCCATCCAAATACTAACCAGGGCCGAGACTGCTTAGCTTCCAAGATCTGATGAGATCAGGCTATCCTGGGCCATCCAGGTCAGGGCCTGGGTTGCTCTAGGAGGACCCAAAAGCCCCTGGACTACGGAAAGCACAGCCAATGGGAAGGCCTCACCACAATCCTATGTGTATTTATTAAGTCCCACTGAGTGTGCTGGCTCTCATTCCAAAAGAAGTGAGCATAGGTTTGCAGCCTCGATTCTTCTCTATGCAGCAGGACAGAATTTCTTGCAGAGGAAGACAGAAGTTGGGCACAGAGCTGGGGCTCACACCTCCTGACGTATGTCCCCAGAGTGGGTATCCATGAGCCAAAACGTATTCAACTGATGAGATTCCACACTCAAAACAGATTTCAGTTGGTCGACCAAAGGCCGATAAGGCTACCCACTTCTGTTTTCAAAGATCTCAAATACCTAAGAGTATTTCCAGAGTGCAGGTGGAGAGGTATGTTCTGTGGCTGCCCCACCACTTGCAGTATTCCCACCTCCTAGGGCACCTGAGCTTTAATGTGCGCAGACATTTTTTAAAAATTGAGCTGGCTTTGGAGGCCTGACTTAATCAACTGGTAAAGAGCTGGGACACTGCAGTTTGTTGTCTTTTTTCCCTGTTCTGTTTGGATTCTTTAACAGGATACAGCTTACTTGTCTTTCTTAAATCTGATCCTGTCTTTAGAGGAGATGGCATCTTTCTCTGTACT